TTTTCAATTTTCACTTTCATTAAGCTTTTCGTTTCATAAAAAAAATTCTGTATCTATTAACAATTAACTCCCCACATTTTTTGCTTCTGTACATCTTTTCCCCAACAGTGTCTTCGATCATTGAAGATTCTTGATCTCAGCCATTCTCATTCCCTTACAGAAACCACTGACTTCTCATTCTGCCCAAATCTAGAGAAACTTATTCTTACAGATTGTGTGAGCTTGATTTATGTCCATGGATCCATTGGAAACCTTGAGAGACTTGTTTACCTGAATACGAAGGATTGCAAAAATCTTAAGATGCTTCCAGAGAACATATGTATGCTAAAATTACTTGAAACACTTATTATATCTGGTTGCACAAGTCTTAATGAGTTATCAATTGAGATGTTGAGGAACATTGAATCTCTAAAAGTGCTTGATACGGATGGAATTCTGATAGGTGAACTAGTCCCAGGAAGAAGTTCATGTATCTTGAGTTCTTTAACATGCTCTTTAGTTGATTTAAGTCTTCAGGGGTGCAATCTTTCGAATGATGCCTTTCCAAGGGAATTTAGTAATCTATCCTCATTGAGAAGACTAAATGTAGGGAACAATCCAATTTGTAGCCTACCAAATTGCATCAAAGGTTTAACGAGGCTCAATGAACTTTCTTTTTTGGGATGTGGGAGTTTGAAATTGCTTGAGGGATTACCAAAAGTGAGCACGTTGAATGTGGCACATTGCGTATCATTGGAAAAAATAACATATCAACGCCGTTGGCCCGGACGACATACCATGTTGTTTAACAATCGCAACCTAGTTGAGTGGGAGTATATGTACAAGCTAGAACCCATTGGAAGTGTTGATGCAGAAATGATTAACCTTTTGGGCTTGTCCAACTTGGAATCCATGGCACCCTTTCTGATGCGCAAACGAGCTTACATGTCAGAAGAGGATGATTGGAATCCCGTTCAGGTGTGCGTCTCTCTCTCTCTCTCTCTCTCTCTCTCATGATCATAAGAAAAAGTTTACTTATAATAGTCATTTGCAGGGGCTGTATGAAAAAGGTATATTCAGCACATTTTTTGCCGGGAATGAGGTTCCAGGCCAGTTCAGCCATAAAAGTACAGAGTCCCCGATCTCTTTTACCGTGCCATTACTTGACAATCACAGAATTCAAGGCTTGAAGGTCTTCGTTGTCTATACAAAATTGTATGCTAATTATTCTGTTGGAGATTCCCCTGGGCCAATAATTACTAGAGTAAAAAATAAGAGCAAGGGTCTGAAGTGGATCTATAGCCCACGATGCTACGGTATTCCAGGTGAAGGAGAAGACATGATGTGGTTAAGCATCTGGAAGTTGGAGGAGGAGGTTCACTTAGATGGTAGCGATGAAGTGGTTGTTTCAGTAATTATGCAACCTTGACTTCAGGTCAAGGAGTTTGGCATCCAGCTTGTGCAGCACCTGCAAGAAGAGAATACTAATATGATGACTGTTCCCACAGATTCTTCTTATTATCCATCTGTCAGGAGTGGATATTCTTCTTATCAGCCAGGAGTATACTTGCTTTTCCACAGAAGTAAACCAATTCAAGATCCGATTTGGTTTAATAAGATCCTTGAGGACTCTGATGATGAAGATACGACGGGTGTGTTGTTTATTAACGCATTTGATTTTACTCCGACTATTAAGTTTCCTCTAATTTGTGGGGATTTTCTGTAATTTTTTATTTTGTTTCAGTCAAAGAAGAAGAGCAACATTATGATCAGACAATTGCAGTCATGACAGGCAGCAATGAATCCGGCAGCCTCCGTGGCTGGAAGGGGAAGGTGCTCATCTCCGCAGCTTGCTTCTTTCTCACACTTTCTCTCGTCACCCGGTCTTCTCTCTCACACAAAAAGAAGCGACAGTCAACAAGCCGTGGATAAACTTTGTACCTGAACTGCATACAGTTGTTCTTGCATATATCCAATGTTTTCCTTCCTAAGACCTATTTCGTTTCGTAGCATCAAATGCTTCGATCTTCTACGAATATGTATCATGCAATGCAATGTTCTCTTTTGATTCTTTGAGCTGCTCATTTTACAAAATTAATTTACGACTGGTGCTGAAAAGAGCCAAAATCTCAGTACCATATGTTTAATTCTATATCAAGAACAATCAAATGCATATCAAGAACATTCTCTTAGTATGTAAATTTTTCAGAGAATAAATCTGTAGACAACCAAATAGTGATTAATAAATGGAACAACTATGCCAGAGCGTTCCATTTTGAATAATAGAGTTGAGGATCGACTAAGTTCCTCACAAATCTCTTTACACACCCATTCTTGTTGCACTAACAGAAATGCTCAGCACACCCATGTTTCTCACAAATCTCCTTTACGCACCCATTCTTGTTGCACTAACAGAAATGCTCAGCACACCCATGTTTCTCACAAATCTCCTTTACGCACCCATTCTTGTTGCATTAACAGAAATGCTCAGCACACCCATGGATCTTCTACAATCACTCAAAACATTGGCCAATCTGATTTGGTTTCTATGCCTATCTTATGCTTTTGACAAATGTAATAAACCCACCAGCTACAGGGCTGACTCGAACTCGATCAGAACTCAGCACAAAACTTCGCCTTGCAAAAATAGCAGGACAAGATACAGAAGCTCGTTCGGTTCTTCAACCCAAACAAATTATTGAGTTGGAAGGGCCATAGGCACTGGTGCCAAAAGCCCAAAAAAGAAAACCAAAGCCCCAGACAGAGTAACAGAGTGAAAGGAGGACATTGAAGATTAAGGGACACTCTGTTTCTGTGTGCTACGTCAGCCTAATCGCTTTTCAAGTCAAGTCAATGGAGTTATGGGTAGGCTGTCTTTTTCATTCATTGAATTCTGCAATTCATCATAACATGCTTGGCTTTCGGTTGAAGTTTTTAATTAATTTCCCACAGCTCATCACAGACAAGTCGTCGACATCCATGGCTCTTGTGAAAGCAGCAGATCCACAGACCTCCTCTTCTAATGCTTCTCGATATTGTCGTTATCACGTGTTCCTGAGTTTCAGAGGCCAAGACACTCGC